ACCCAAGGTCAATCTGGAATTTCAAAATACGAGTGTTGTCTGTAAGGGACATCTCATCACAAGGAAACGACCGTTGGACGGCGAAGCAGAAATATTATGCCTTCATCTTTTGGTGAATGGCACCTACTAATCTTAGATGTTTTGTCGCTCTACAATAACCATACTAGTTGTGTTATATATAGTGTATACAAAAGCAACATTCAAACACTTAATTAATCATTTTTTCTTCTTTTTCTTTTGCGATCGTTCGGCACCATTATCCGTGTTAACTGGTGTAGATCCCCCAGAGCGCTGACTGTCCGCATCATCTCGAAGTCGTTTCTTGTTTTGCTGTTGTGAATTATTCCCCAATGCTGGCGTAGCCTGACCTGATCTAGGGGCAGAAGGAGGGGCGGAAGGTGAAGGCTGAATTGTGGTGGATTCAGATAGAGGGGTTGATGCATTTTGAGGTTCTGGTGATGGTTGAGATAGTTCTGACGGTATGATGAATTTCGGTTCAGAGAGCACGGAACGGTAGGTTTTGCGAGATTCTGATAAAATATTAGCGAAAAATAATATATATTGGACATAAATCCACGCTAACCTGCTCGTAGGACGACGGTGCGAGGGGTTTGAGCGATTGCGTCTTGTGAGAGATTTTGAGCAAGGCCTATGAGTGTAATTCTGCATTACGTTAATATATAAAGGCCGATTCGAGGAGATAAATTAAACTAACAAATTCGCAATGTCACGAGGTGCTCGGACCTGCTTATCTTCCTCTGCCCCTCCACTTACAAGTACACCTTTGCCCTTGGTAACCCTTGTCACCTCGCGCGCCCCTGCCCACCAATTACGCCTTTCAGCTTCTGGTCCGACAGCGCCAGCATAATCAATTTCAAAGACAGCACCATTCTTCAGAGCAGTCCGTATCAGCGTATGCTTTAAATAAAATGGTAACCGTGGTAGAGTAACTGGGACCGAAATTATATGGGCGGTGTGCGGTGATGGTACACTATGTGTAAGGCATGCGGCAGAAAAAGACGTAGATGTCGTTGGACGTAAGGAAAGTAGATCGTAAGTGTTAAGTGCTGTTAAGTGTTGAGGATTCTGCAGGAAGAGAAAAATCAGCGGGCGCGAAAGGACAAATTTGAATAATTCACATACCACCCCATTTCCTCGGTCACTTTCTTCATCCAAGACAACAGTTAACCGCTTCAATATCAAGATACCCTGCCTCTTCTTGAGCTTAGGAACCAACCCTTCTAACCAATTTACGTGTGTTTTCGCATCGATCTTTGTTTGCATGATCTGGTTCAACGCAAGAACGGCATATCCCACTAATGCAATTTGTTGAATCCAGCTCATCTAAAGCCATACATATTAACTCACTGTGAACAAGCAGATCTATCCGAGCCTCGATGGCTGCGACCTGCCCAGTAGTGTACAAACATTGCAAAGAAGTTGCGCTATTTGCTGGACCTGAGCTTGCCGGTTCTTTTTGCTTTTGCTTGCCCTTCTTATTTCCTTGACCAGCACCAGATAGTGTCGATAATAAGCCTGGAGTGGGCACAGGGACGTTCAAGTCAAAAAACATGGCGAGCGATGACTCAAGTCAAGCCTTAGGTATTTTTGCTTCCGCGGGAGCGCCCACAACAATTTCTTCTAGTATGCCTCCACGACGTCCCCAAGCTGAATCGGATTCTGATAACGATGCACCCGAGGTTGTGACTCTTTTATCTTCGAAGAAGGCGTTGAAGTCCCAAGAAAAGGCTGTCCTAGCGGCCGAAAGTGCCCGGAAGGCGAAGAGGAAGAGGGAGAACCAAGAGCGGGACCATGCATTGAAGACGGCGAAAGAAGAACGGCAGAAGCAGAAAGAAGAGGAAGAAGAAAGAGCTAGAAAACGTGCCAGGAGAAAGGGTAAAGGAAAACAGAAGGCTGTGGATGAGAATGATGATGAAGACGCGGACATGGACCCTCTTGAAGCTCGCATGTTACGGGCTATGAAGGACGCAGAGCAGGAAAGCGACGCTATGGATGAAGGTGAAGAAGAAGAGGAAGAAGGCATGTTTGATGCAGAAGAAGGGTGGGAGAGCGTTGAAGATGATGAAGAGAGTGGAGACGAGGATGAGGAAGATGACGACGACGAGGAAGACAACAATGAGGAAGACGATGACGACAACGACGATGAAGAAGCGTACGATGATGATAACGAAGCCTTGCAATCGTCTAAACATCTTCCTGATCATCTATTCTCTGCTGCTGCAAGGCCAAAAGCGTCGTCCGAATCCAAGAAGCCGACGCCCTCGAAGCCAAAAGCTAAGGCACCTAAAAAGAAATCATCGCGATCGAAACCTAAAGACGTACTTGTGGGGTATGTATTATATCATCTTTCGCATCCTTCCGTGGGCTGATGTGTCACCTTAGCTCTCGGACGGTCCGCGTTCTCCCCAATAACCTCAACACGATATCCCAGACGCTTCCTCCTGCCCGCGTTAATAGATTCCTAAAGAATGCTCTTCAACTGAAGAAGAATGATCCGCTCCCTGCCGATTTGCAAAAGAAGAAATCGGCTAAAGCGAAAAAGAGGGATTGGGAACGTCGACCAGGTGTGTATGTTTCGCTCAGAACCTTGGACCTGTTGTTGACGCCTTCCTATGCAGCCCATCTTGGTGTCTTCCGATCCACTAGTGGACCAGCCTTGAAGTTCGCTAGAGGAACTTCTTAATCCAGCTCTACGCTATCTTGTTATACATATATAATCTGAATCTTTGCGAGGTGTCTAACGTGCGAGTTTATGAGAGTGTAACATTGTTAAGTTTCTTCCACTTTCATTTTGAAAGTTCCAGCTACATATCTCCAGGATAAGGAACATCACGGACCGTTACTAGTTCCCATAACCCCTTTAAATGCCACATTATCGCATGACAAATTGAAAATTCGGATTGCGATTTACAGACAGATCTCATCATCGTGAACTACTTAATACTCTCCGTCCCCATGTTATCGCGGTGTCCTATAATTGTGGCCTCAATATTCCTCATCACTCCCATTAGTTATCCAATCTGTGTTAGTATCTGCTTCCGTAGACGACGTGACCTGGGATCCAGGACTTTCAACGACCATCTTTCTCTCCCTTCGGCAAGTCCAACCACTTTTCTGATCCCATGACCAGAAGATATCCGGGCCTAATTGGACGGAAAGCAAAGAAGGATGGCCTCGTTCAGGTACTTTTGGATTATTTCGTGGATCAAACTCCAAGGGTCGCGAGAAAATTATATCGCAAATTGTCAGGTTGAACAGCCCTGTGAAAATACGAAGCAGCTGCCCCAACAGTATCTAAAAAAACAGTTCGTAAAATCATCTCATTTCGTTTGGTAAACTGATAGTCTACCTTGGGCTCGTCACTTTCAAGGGTATCCACCTCTGGGAGAATCAAAGCGACGATTCCAGTCAAACTTGAAGTAACTGATTGGAAACATGTCGTTGACAAGGTTTTGACGCGATGATTCAGCCAAAGTACCAGTTTGGTAACTGTAACCGTTGATGCGCTGAGACTTCTCAATGCTGACTTCAAAACCTCTGAATAGGTCGACGAAGACACCTCGGGAAGCCACGTCATGACTGTCTGTATAGGTTGTCCTGGAACTAGATTCCGGACCAAAGGTAGGGGCCCTTGGACATTCTCCAAATTTGACAATATTGATTAGGGGGTCTTGTACACCCTCTCGTCCGGATGATCAATGAACTCCAAATCGTCTCCCGTGATTTGTTTTGTCAATATCCACCAATTCTTCTTGAAGTATAATCGCCGCAAGCTTCGACAGCATGATAGTAATTCTGTAAGTGATTTCAGAAAATGCTGGTGTGGATTTTCATACATCACGTCAGTTCTTCTAGCACATGGAAGCTTTGTTCCTGCATGTTATCGAAATCGATATAATGCAGTAAATGCAACGGCAGATGCAACGTCTGCAGAGTCGTGGCGCTCTTTAAGATAGTCCGTGCTATTGCACGACCAAAAGCAACGGGTGCGTCTTCCTTTACTTTAAGCCTTTTCTTCCCAACATCTGAAATGAAATTCTTCAAGGCCAACTTTCTCGGAAAGGGTCATATTATTATCCCAATCCAAGTCTTGCAGTCGACAGTTCAAGATGCGAAAATCCTTGAAGGTCGCAATAGTAACCATGGTAAAATATATCGTGGAGGTAAGTGTGCAAGACCGCAATACCACTCGATGAATGGCTGATCCCGGCAAATGTGGTGCGAGGATGGAGACTGTCCTCTCCAAGCCTTCAGTCATAATCTCCGACGCTGCCTGTATGCTATGTTCACCAAATCCCACTTGTTCTTGAATCGTCGGGGATGCATTGTTGAGGAAAACGTTCAAGAAATCTCGCAAGTATTCCAATTTCGGAAACACATGGAATGGATGTGCTGAAACAATCCTGTCCCACACAGAAACGCTCCTCTTTCCACATTCTGTTCGACGTCTTCTAGGCTAGCCTCGACGAACTTCTTCATGTTCCTTCGGGGATAGATTCCGCTGTGGAAACACCATTCTTCTGGTTGGAAGCAGGTCTCGGATAGAACCAATCGTAGTGCGATTTTGCGCATGAACTTGTTGGTTAGGGAGAGGGCGAGAAGAGTGGAGGTATCTTCGGGCAGAAAGTGATCCTGTAGAAGTTTTGCCCAGAGTTCTTCAGAGAGCCATTCGACTGGCATTGCATCGATCGCAATGAGGCAGATGGATGCGGGTAGTTAGCACGAGGCATGTTGAGTCCTTAAGGATGCAGCCTGGATTGCTTATTTGTAGCATAGCCAGAAGCTTATTCATTCATTGTTCCGGACTCTACCGTACGGTGTACCTGTGGTACATCCACAACATAGGGTCAATCGGTTTCTTCGCCTTGACAGTCCTAGGGAAGTGGTTGAAAGTACAGGCGAAGCAGCACGATCTTCCAAGTTCGCATGTCCGGACCTGGTTTCCGACCAGCTGGCATTCGCCGAACTCAGTTTCAATGGGTCCAGTGGAGCAATGGTAGCTCGTCACTCTCTGGGGGCGAGAAACCTTTGGACTCCCAGCCGCCTCTGACCGGGAGGGTGTCCAATGGTTTCGAAGTGCTGCGTCCGCAAAATGTATGCTTTTATAGCGTTAATGGTTCATCCCCGAACCAAATTATTCATAGGTGTAGGTTGCAGGTTCGAATCCTGTCTGGATCGTAACTTTTGCGTTTCCCTCTATTTACTAGCGTAAGGTCTTTTCATAATGCTTTAACGAGCCGCTTTCTCTCTCCAGTTCACCTCCTCTTTCCGTGTCACAATCCTCCTAACTGCTGGTCAATTTCTGACTTCGGAAGGTTGAGAGTTTTCGCGCGTTAACCTCGCTTGTCATGTAGATCTTCGGAGCTGCATTGTTTTGTAATGTTTTTCTCCTTCATTACCCAACGAAATTGCTCCAAAACTCTGTCCTTTGCATCCGTTTGAGAATCGGTTCCAAAGTATTGGTCTCCCTTTAGCAGGATAGCGGTGAGTGCTTTGCCATATAAATCGACGGTATCCAACTAACATGGGACAATGCCTACTTAGAACCGAAGACGAACATGTTCGATTCAAAATCCCTGGAAATGTTCCGAAGGATTTGAGCTGACAGTCCTTGTTGCAACTCTTGTGAATCAGCTGCCAGTAGTAGTCCGGAGATTGGTTTTGACGGATTATTATCCTGATATAAGGTTTAGGCACTTCAATGCAACGGGCCAGCATAATTCGATTTGCTGGAATCCAATTTCATCAAAAGTTCAATGTTACGTATAAAGAAAGTTCATCATAAAGAACATAACACCGTTACAACTATTACACACTATTTACATCACCGCCTTCACTGCGGACTGCCCTTCATCGACCCTCATCAACACTCATCAACGTCCATCAACACCTACTACACAACAAACACAACAAACAACACAATTACAATTACATTCATTTCATCATCGTTCGTTGGCATATGCATCATTAGAAAGTTCTTCCCCCTCCCCCAAAATAAAAGCACGGGATATATACCTCATCAGGCTCTGGATCCTCTAAGAACTTCGGAAATCGTGACCTTCTATCGTTCTAGCTCTAAATCGAAACAGGAAAGAGCAAGAGCAACTAATTCGTGAAGTGAATCAATTATAGGACATTGATTCCTCTGCCGCGGAGCCAATCGACACCGTTCTTGAGTTGTTCGAATGTCAGGAAGATGAGGATCGTGGTGGGTTGGAGACGCGACCAGGCGGGGACCCAGCCCTTGAACATGAACATGGCACCTTCGTTTGCCATCGAGTTGCGGATTACTTGGAGAGTTGACTAATAAGAGAGTCAGTGAGTATTGGGTGTCGAGAGAGGTCAAATAGAGCAACAGGGAAGGATATAATCTCAAGGGATATGAAAACAGAGGGGGGACAATGGGAAGCAAGGGAGGTGTGGACTCACGTTCGAACCGGGCCCAGAAGCGTTCATGATACGAGATTTCAAGACATCGGCGGGAGAGCATATTGTAGTGGCGACCGTACCCTATAAATAAGGCATAGTGAATAAATTGTTTATTACACATCTGGGGACTGGGCTCACAGCTGCGAAACTGGCGGTAAAGTGGCAGTAAATATTATCATTGAATATTCCGTGTCGCAATAGTTCTGCCTTGAAGTAGTCGTATCTGTAGAATATTCAGTTACTGTTTTATAAGAAAAATTACAGTAAGCAGAAAGAAGAGAGAAGAATACTAAATGGATAAAGTCTCAAAGTGTCCTGAGAGAAAGCCGGAGCGTGCGAATAGGTGCGAACAGTTAGCGATCATCCTATCGCCAAAACGGCACTGTCAGGGCGTTCAGGGTCAACTACCCCAGATTTACCCCACATTCGGCTAGGTGTGATATTGGTATGATAAGGAAGTGGCCAATGAGGATGGTAGACAAATATGACGCAAATCAATGCGCATCAAGAACCGACAGCCGATCGATTCATAGAAAGGGAATGCATAGAAAGGGAATGCAAAATACGGAATATAACTTACGAAGCAAGTTGGGAAGCGTTCATAAGAACGGCACGGAATACGTTTGGGGTAATACCTCGTGCTAAACTGGAGAAACCTTCTTCTCTGACCATCTTTGAAATGGGGGGAAATCACGCGTTATGAGCTACGGCTAACGAACAGGTGACTTTGACTCATACCCGGAACAATCCGTCAAAACAGTTCTTGTAGTTGAGGCGCTTCTCTGGGGGTTTGGCAAAGTCGGCTTGCATGCGGACCATGAGAATTTCACCCGGATTGCCAACAAGACCGGCGATACCACCAGCTTTTAGGCAAATTATTAGAGGAACAATGAACGGATTTTGAGATACATACCCATACTACCTGCAAGAGCAAGTTTCCAGGCTGGAGCATTCTTCCCTATGTTATAATTAAATATCGTTCTGATCGAATCAAATGACGATGTAACATACCAGCGCCAACAATCTTCTTGCTTTCATCGTACGCCCAAAAGCGACACACTGAATAACTCATCTGCCTCATCCAAGTCCCCGAAATGCCATCAAATAGTCCTCGAACGCCTGCTGTATTAACGGTCTTCTTGAGAGACTGAAGCATACGCTTGTCGCCGGATGCCTGCAATCGGACTTTCGTGAGATCCAATGGATGCGTGATACTTGCAGCGATGGTGGCAGCGACACCCCCGAGCCAGAATGGATATGGTCTCTTCGGTAACGCTGATGGCGGAATTGGCGTTGGGGGCGGGCCAACGGCTAATTCAGTTTCGGGTTTGGAGGCCATGGCAAACGACGTTGAGCTCGAGGACGGTGGCGACGGTGTCGGGGATGGTTTGAGGAGAAGCCGAGAGGGCCTAACACTGCTAGTGCAGGTAGGAGGGGAAGTTCAAGATGGGATGTGAGAAATTCGGACCGAGTAGGACAGGAATTGGTTCTTATAAGGAAGGACTAACGTCGTCACGAGCATATGTGCATTCGTAAAATCCCGCGTACACTGGCACCCACAAAGGGTCTTCCTGGACGTCGCTTATACTAGGAAGCCACCCACGACCTTGTGATTTCTCATGGATGTCTGTGCCCGACTGCGAAAGATTCGCGATATTATTTCTCTTTATTTTCTGAAAATTTAGGAATCATTATTGGTCCTCATTTCTGCCGCAATACCGACGGGGCAGTCCAAAGCTTAGCTTGTAACTTCGCGTGGCATCATGTCACTATTGTCTTCCTTCAGTTGCTGGTCCACTCTTCTCTTCACGTCTCATCACACGTCGATCCATCTCGCCGTATTTCTTCCACGCTTTCCTTATTATTCTATGACTAATTTTGTACAGCCAACCACGAGTCAACCAGGAATAGTTGTATCTATCCCAAACTCTCCAATCACATGACCTACTAGTATATCTATCCCACGAACACTAAGAACAGTCAGTTGACCTTCAGCGAATAGTCATACCTTCCAGGGACTCGTGTGCTTTAATTTGAAATGAAGGTGGCCTTATCTAGTCAAACCTGCCACTTCTATGCTATACAGGTCTATATAGGTAAGACATACGAGCGTTTAGAGTAGTCACCAACTTGCAATTGAAGAGAGGTAGTACTATAATTTAGCTCAAATGATCGCAACTTCGAACTAAACATGGCGAGAGCTTTGTTTCTTCTCTTCTTCTCTTTGGCTTTCCGTTGGTAATAGAAGCAATTATCTTCACAATGAAGATTGGAGTGAGGTTGGAGTCGGGAAATGGTCGTATCTGCTCAGCTACTTGTATCGTGGGGATAAAAATATTACAGGAAGCGGTCTTTATTAATAAAATTTATGATCAACCTTACTGATCGCCGAGTCGGATATGTTCATCGCACAGATGGAGAAAGCTTGGAGGGACAGCTGTCGAGTCAATACGACGGCGGAAAGAAGTCAGGCTCGGACAGCCCATCTCTTACGTATATTCGGAATGAGTGGCCACGTTGAAAACTTCATAATGAGTCATGATTAAGAAGCAGGAAAACTTCTGCAAACATTAAATTCATCTGGTTGAATTTCTTTAGAGAAATAGCTCGTTTAAAGAGCAGGTCTGCTAACGCGGGAGAACCTCTTGGATTCACTATATACTTATAGTAAACAGAAATCTATGCAGCTCTCTGCAGATTATATCTAGAATTCTAGAATTTTATTACCTCATTTCAAATCCGTTGAAATTAATTGCCCAAATCTGAACAACTGTAGTAGCTTTAACCCCCCCCATCACATTCTCTGACTCGACCACAGACTCCAGAGTAAAGGTCATTGCACTTCAGCCCCCTGGTAATTTTCTGGGGATATTCTATTAAATAGCCACAGCATTAATTATTAATATCCATTAAAATGTATAATATATGCGATATAGTGGTCGAGTACTGACCATTTGTGTTGTGGTGTGATCGTAGTGACGATGTGACGTGTCGCGACACGCCAGCGGTACCGTAGGCGGGATGCCCGTGGATGGATTTCAAAATAGCGGACACTAAGCGCTAACGTCATACAAGCCCCCAGTTCAATTCCGGGCTAGGTCAGTAATTTACGATTTCTCCCTCTAGAATGTCCTGTAATAAATAGGAAAAAAATCGAGAAAAAATAAATATGATTGTTATATACGATTATGTTCAAGAAAAAATACCTTAAATTTTCAAAGGAAGCCGGTTAGCTTATAAATTCACCAGGACCCCAGAATCACCCAGGGGCATGCAGTAAGCTGAGATTCCGGAATGCAGAGGCATCGGACAATGAAAATAAAGAGGTTCAGAACCGGCGTACCTAGCCCTGAGATACCGCCAGAAATGGAGGTGATCTGACTATTGCTACAGACTACTATATGACAATCCACATGCCTTGCTGGCTCATATTCCTTCTCAATATAAACTCATTTTACTTTGATTTATATCATGTCCATACCTATCAAGTGTAATATAAATACATCTAGCTTTTCCATTGATATACCTGATTACGACCGCACCAGTTCTCATACTCCCGAGCGATTCCGCACCTTATTGTTTGGAAGCCGACTCCTCTGATTTTGCGACCGGAGCCGCTCTCTCTCAACTTTCGGAAACGGACGGAAAATGGCACCCAGTCGCGTTCATGTCC